AGCACTAAATTTACAGAAAGTGCCTTTGTGGGGTAACTGAGAACTTTTAAATGGGCTTTGTGCTTCAGTTGCTTATTGTAAATCTCACCAAAAGTATCAAGCAGTACTATCGAGGACCTGGCTATGAGCCCTGATCTCCTGCAAGGTGATATGACAAAAGGTGATAAGAAGACACAAAGATTCACAGCAAAGCAAGGAACTGAGATGTACCAGGCCGAGCATGTGGCAAGGGGCCCAAGCAACCAGGATGACACCAGCTGGTGATATCAGCTGACACAGGCAGGCTTGTGAAAGGGGATAAGGCATTCTGGTGAAAGAGCAGAATAGACCAAAGGCAGGCCGGTTGTGGTTAGCTAATAAGATACTGAAACAATTAAGGGAGGGGCAGCTCTAGGAATGAAATCTAGTTTGGAGTCACATGGTCCTCTGCTGCAATATTATCTCATTTAGGAGCCCTGCAACTTCACAGAAGAGGACCTAGGTCTCTGTCATTTCTGCTGGCGGGGGGCAGGGAGAGTGCTTATGTTAGCCACACAGGCTTCCATCAGGCTCCAAATACATTATAGCCAATTATGAGGGAAATACCTGCTCCATACAGTAGCCCACCTTACTCCTAGCCAAAGGAGTCTGCCACACAGTACCCATACTGAGTTTAAACATTATGCAAAGTCTCAGGACATGAAAGAAATGCAGGCAAACTTTCTGCCACGGTTTAACACCCATAGCCTGGAGTTCTACTGCCTGTGCAGTCCTTGTTCCCAGCTGAAATCTTTTGAACCTTGTTTTTACTGTCTGAACCATGAGGTAAAACAATCTTTTCTCCTAATATGTCGATTATCTCAAGTATTTTGTCACTCTGACTGAAAGCTGACTAATGTAGCACCTTTTCATTAAAAAAAAATATATATTGTTTGCTGTACTGTCCTGAAACAGTCCCTGCGAATGGGAATTTGGGATGTTTCCAACCTTTGATTGTTACAAAAAAAATGCTACAATAGATTATTTTGCATATATGCCATTCTGTACATGTATAAGTACATTCTAAGGTTAAATGTATGAAGAGAATCTCTGTCTTGAAGGGTGATTGCTACTGCCAAGTGCACCTTTGTTGGGCCTGTAAGAATTCACACCCCCAACACAGCCTCCCCAACACAAAGCATTAACCACTTCAGACTTTTGTTAATCTTATTTGTAAAAAATCACAGTCCAGTACAGTTTTAATTTTCATATCTCTTGTAATAATTGCATTGAACATCTTTTCTTGCGTTTAAAATGTATTTTTCCTTTTCTGTGACTTATCCATTCATGTCCTTTGCTCCTTTTACTATGGGACATTGCTCTTGGCTTTATATTTTTAGCCCAACTAAGAAATGTTAAATGTTACAAATTATTTTGAGTCTAAAATATTCCACTGTGTTTTTAATGTTATAAAACATAATAAGTCTGCCGTTTTAATACTAGTAAATATGTCTTATTATACAACAAAATAGTCTTTGTGCAGAGGCTGAAATTAGAAATTTCAAGCATGGTTCATATGTGTGTATGAGTGCATATAATGATGTCCTTCTTATAAAGTCACAGAAGGCCATGAAACTTTACCCCAAAAAAGGAAACCAAACTCAAATGAGCTCTCTAGAATACAGCTATTCTGAGGCTTAAAATTAAGGGCCCAGATTAGCCTAAGCACAACTCACTTGAAAAGGATAGCATTTCTAATTATTTTAAGCCCATTTGTTGAACAGTTTCCAGTCTAAATCATTAACATCATACCACATTTCTGTATTGGATATTTGAATGGGCACAGTGTGTTGTATTTATATTAAGCTTTATTTTACCCATACTGTTCAAAAGACATCATGAGACAGAATATCAGAGCTGAAAGGATCCTTGTCATCTTGTCTGACCCCTTTGATTTTAATAAGCTATTAACTTAGGCTTTAGCTTTTAAACCACCCCCCCGCCCCTTTATTTTTTTCTTCAGCCTTGTAAATGTTTTTAACATTGTCATCATAACAACTGGCTATAAATCCATCCAATTTCCATGTTGTGTACCCAAAGTCTTCTTAGCCTACTTCAAGGAACTGGAGAGTTCTCTAGAAAAAAATTCACCATGGCACTAGGAGTTCTATTTTTTAAATTAGAGTCTTCAGTTTCCCCATGGGTCAGGTGCAGCGTTTCGTTAGACGTCCTCTGAAGTTACTGAAGACCCAGCCATCTGCAGGGTTATGAGAGAATGGGAAGGTGGTGTGATGAAATCTTCTACTTTCTCCAAGGAAAGGGCTGCCATGCTTCAGGGCAAAGTTAAGATTTCTGCATAGCTTTGTTGCATTCTATTTCCTGAGGTCATAAAAGTCTGGGTTCCAATTACATTCCTAGAATAATGGGCCTGTTCCAGCAAATGAACATTTTGTAGTGCAACCGAATAGCCATCTACTGAACGTGCTGGCACCTAATAATCTTCTCTTGGCAGAGGAATGAAGCGGGCATTCGGATAATGGGAGGTGGCTCGTGAAATGCGATAGAGAAAAGAAGGATAAGAGAAACAAGAGGTGGATCTGCAGCCTCTCGGGACTCCAGCTCTACCAAGACAGCCAGGGGATAGATAGAGGTGACCAGCTCTTCCTGCAAAGGGAAAGGCCCTCACTCTGAACTGCCTCAGGGTGCCACTAACTTGACCCCAGAAGTCATCTGTTCCAAGTTTATCCTCTTTCTCTTTTTCAAAGTTGTGGTTGATATCAAATGTCACATCAATATCCGACCTATTGGATTAGAGCTATCACAAAGAATGGGGTTAGACTGAGTAGCCTTGAGTTCAGTGAGTAAACCGAAGGAAGAGGTTTTTTTATGTTAAGACTGGTTTGCAACAAAGCATGCTCTATGTAACAATATTGCCCTTTGGCTTTGTGGTATTTTCATATGGTTTTTATCAAGGCAACTTTGTGACTGGATATACACTAGCCAAGTGTTCCTGTTCAAAAGGCAAATAAACTGGTTGGTGGCAGAGCAGCAAGACCTTATAGAGAAATCTCAGTAGGAAATAAAGCAGACCCCCGCTGAGGATGGAAAGTAGGAACGTGTTAAGGCATTATCTTCTACAAATATGTGCACATGCTTTTCTCCCAAACAGTTGCTAATCTTGCAAATGTCCCCATCATACTGCAAAGACCAGTGTGCCTATTTCTGGTCCCACACTTTTCTGTGTCACTCGAAGCAATTTCCTACTTTTCTGTGTCTGTGTAGACTCCCAAGCTCAATCAAGCAGTGGTTCCGTGTGCAAATAGAGCAGTTCCAGGTGTGGTACTGTTGCCCAAGTGGATTCTTAGACCTTAAGTCCATGGCATTCACTGAGTTGGTGGATGTTTTTCTATCAGAAACAAAGAGTCAGGAACCATTTATATTCAAATAAAATAGACAACTATGTCCATTTATCGCTTTTCTCCAGAACTATTTTAGCTTTCCCACACTCTATATCAGGCCAAGGAAACACAAGCCACTGGAAAATGCCTGCAAAATGCCATATCAATTCATTAATTTGAGGACATCATGCTGCTTGGCTGAGACAAATAAGAGGTTCAGAATATATTGGCGAACTTAGGCTTCAAAGGGTAGTGGATAAGCTATGTAAAAATTCAGACAACTGCCAGGTAAAATTTTGAGGAGGTCATGGGTCAATAGAGTGCCTACACATCCTCTCCAAAGAGATAATCTGCTGCATCCAGTGTCCTAACTAACCGTGAAGAAGGAAGAACAATGGGCAGCAGGCCTCTGCGTGCTGCAGGCATCATCTCACACTGCGTTGTGCTCTGGCCCACGTATCAGATGGCATGGAAAGCTACCAGCTTTAGGTGGAGCGTGAAGAAAGAACAGACCACGGAACATGCAGCCCTGCCTCTGGGACCCTCCAACCTCGTAAACCCAGGATGTGTCTGAGGTGACGATGGGGTGGATGTGGTATGAATTTATATTCAACCCCAGAAGAGGTACTTGAATGTGCCTCTGGGGTCTTGGAGTGGAGCTGTGTCAATCGTGTTTGTAATGTGGCATTGCACACCTGGTGAGAGGCAGCTCCTGGCAGGATTCCAGAACCTAGTAGAGTTGCAAACTTGAGCATGGGGAACGGCCCATTACCAACAAGTTCACGAGACCCACTAAGTCATATTGGATGGGCCCAGCAGCTCTCTATCCCTGGATGGGGATGGTATATCTGTGACCCAAGCCTAAACAAGACCAAGAGAGCACAGGAAAGTGTGTGAGCAGGTAGCCGGTCCTGCACATTACCAAGTCTGTCTTTTTAAGACTCTTCTTCAGCTCATATCTATGGCTGCTAGGGATCCTCTGTGATCAGCTGAAGAAGGAGCTGTTATTGATAGTTCAATGCTGTATGTAAGACAAACCTGAAAAGGAACAGTGGCCATGCTGCCATCACTTTCAGGGGTGGACCTGAAGTCAGTGGATGGGGAAAAGCCTCCCAGAGGGCAGAGTTGTGAGTGTGCACTTAGCCACTCACACTATGTAGTAGGAGAAGTGCCCTGAAGGGGGAAGTATATAGTTTTCTGGACAGGTACAAATGGCTTCACCAATTTGCCATGGCTTAGGAGGAGAGAGTCAAAAATCACAGGCAAAGAATTGGGGCTCAAGGTTTATAGCTGGGGTCAGCCACAAAGAATGAAGATTTTTGTATCCCATGTTTGTGTCCACCGTAAATTATACATGCAGAAGTAGACAGATGGCTCAACCAGTTCAGGCTGACAACCTATGTCGTTGGCTTCCTTCAAGCACGTGAATGGAGTAACTACACTGAGATGGAGTGCTTAAATTTTCCCATAACAAGGCCAATTTCTTGGGATGGCTCCGAATAGCCAAGCTGTCTACAACAGAGCTATGCCAAGTTCTTAGGATAATATTATTTCTCAGAGATCACTCAGCTTCTTGGCAGCAAGATCTACATTGTATCACTTCTATTCTGGACGACCCTGAAGTTTCCCTTAATACAAGTAGATGCCTCTTCTATGTGTGGATCATCTCTCTTCCTTTCAGGGCTTCCATCAAGGCTGCTATCTTGGTCCTCAGGTATAGAACCATAAGCAGTAGAGTAAGATCTAAAATGTTCCCCAAAACTCTTGAAATCGGAGGTCAGGCTTTTGATAGGGGACTGAATCATGGGGACAGTAATCAATGGATGAATCCTTTGATGGGTTCAGATCTGAATGTGCTGTTCAAAAGAGAGGCCTGGTCAGAAGAGGCGGGTCTCTGAGCATGTGACCCAGAGGGGTTCTTATTTACTGGGGTCACTGGGCATGTGACCTGACTCCTCCCTTCTCTCTCTCTCTCTCTCTCTCTCTCTCTCTCTCTCTCTCTGCTTTCTGTCTGCCGTGCATTGAACAGTTCTTCTCCACTAGGCCCTTTCCACAATACCATTTCTGCCTCGGAGCCAGACAGCTCTGGATGGAACCCACTGAAACTGTGAACCAAAGAAACCTTTCCTCCTTTGAGTCATGCATGTCAGGTATTTTGTTTAGCAATAGGAAAGTGACTAAAACAGTCAGTTTCCTTATATGCAAGTAGATATATCAAGCAATGTTTAATGAGGAGGAAGAAAAAGGCATTGATTTGCACATTTCTGATGCTAAGCAACATCCATCCCTATGGTTCATGATATTGAGGGCAAAGTATTTGCCTATTCATATGTCTTGTTTGGAAGAATATCAATTCAGATCCTTTGCTCTTTTATAAATTGCTACCTTTTCCTCTTGAGTTGCCTGAATTCCTTACACATTTTTGGTATTAACTCCTTACTGTATAAATGGTTGGCAATTATCATTTCTTATTCTTTAGTTTGCTCTTTGATTTGCTGAATGTATCCTTAACTGTGCTGAAACTTTTTAGTTTAATGTAGTTCTCTCTGTTTATTTTTGCTTTTGCTTTCTGTGACTTGGGTGTCATATTCCAGTGTCACTGTCAAAGCAACATCAGGGAACTTTTTCCTTAAGTTTTTTTCTGAGAACTTTATAGTTTCAGCTCTTCTATCTAAATCTTTAACTCACCTAGAACTTAGTTTTATATATAGTCTAAGGTAAGAATCCAATTTTATTCTTTTGCTTATGGATATTAAGTTTTCCCAACACCACAGATTGAAGAAGGCTTCCTTTTCTCAATGTTTATTCTTTGGACCTTTTTGAAGATTTGTCAACTGACTATGCAGTTTATTTCTGGCTTTCTATTCTGAGTTCTCGTGTGTGTGTGTGTGTGTGTGTGTGTGTGTGCCTGTTTTTATGTAAGCACCACATTGTTTTAATTACTATGTCTTTGTGGTATAATTTAAAAATCAGAAAACATGTATTTGCCTTTGTTGTTTTGCTTATGATTACTTTAGGCATTTGGAGTTTATTGTGGTTCTATATAAACTTAAGGATGTTTTTCTAATTCTATGAAAAGTAGCACTGGAATTTTGATGGGGGAGTCACATTAATTTGTAAATCACTGAGTAATGTGGATATTTTGACGATACTAATTCATCTACTTCATGAAAATGAGATTTATCTTTCCATCTACTTTTGGTCTTTCTCCATTAAGACCACAATGAGACATCACCTCATACCTTTTAGAATGGCTATTACAAAAAGTCAAAAGGTATGTGTTGGTGAGGATATAGAGAAAAAGAAATATATGTGCCTTAAAAAAAGAGAAATCTTGCCATTTGTGTTAACGTGGGTGAACCCAGAAAACACTACATTAGCAAAACAAACCAGGCACAGAAAGATAAACACTCCATTATCTCATTCCACACATAAGTATGTGGCATCTAAAAGAGTTGAATTCTCAGAAGCAAGGAGTACAAGGGTGGTTGCCAGTGGCCAAGAGGTGGGAAAAATAAAGAAATACTGGTCAAAGTATACAAAATTGCAATTGCAAGATAACTAAATCCCAGAGACCTAGTATACAGCATGATAACTACTATTGTAAACTTGAAAGCTGGTAAAACAGGAAATCTTAAGTCTTCACCACCTACATGCACACAACTATGTGAGGTATGTTCCTTAGCTTGATTATAGTCATCATTTTACAATATGTGTGCACATCAAAACATCACATTGTTTTGTATGTAAACATATAAATTTTATTTGTTGATGATGCTTCAGTAAAAATAGGGAAAAAAGTTTACAGGTATTAGAATAAATAAAATTTAAAATAAAGTCTTTTTAACCTGATATAAAGTTGTTAACTAGGTAACTCTCAAGAAAAATACAGAGCAGTAAGATGTCTCCCAGAAAGTTGGAAATTCCATGAACTGAGTAGATTAAACACCAGATTTATTTTTTCACATTTCCGGAGGCTGGACAGGGTCAAGGTCAAGATACAAGGTCAGGGTGTCAGCCAGACTGGTTCCTTCTGAGGGTGTGAAAGGTGGGTTACTTTATAAAGAAAAGAGGTTTATAGTGGTACCTTGTTTATGAATTCAATTCTCCCCACAGTTCTGGTCTCAAACCAAACTGGATGAGAACCAAGTCAAATTTCTCCATAAGGTAAACATTGAACCCAATCAATACCTTATTTTGGTTCTTGTCCAACTCAGTCTGTGACCAGAATTACGGAAAGAATCAAGTTCAGGAGCTGAGGTACCACTGTATTTTGCCTATACTTCTAGAGATTCGAGGACAGGTACAACCTTGGTTCAACCTGGAGTGGACCTCAGGATGGACAGAAGCACAGTGGTTGCACTGTGTGTGTGTGTGTGTGTGTGTGTGTGTGTGTGTGAGAGAGAGAGAGAGAGAGAGAGAGAGAGAGAGAGAGAGAGAGAAGCCAAGATAATGAGGTCCCACAGTGTCTTCTAAAGGACTTCCCTCCACCCACTGGGCTTACCTCTAAACGTCAAGCTGGGGATCAATTTTCCAACACATAAACCCACTCCACATTCAGACCATAACATCATACTAGACCAAGAACAATTCTGTACTTGTATTTAATAAGACAAGAAATCACTCATGGAATAAATAAAACCGATTCTACTCTCTTTACAATGAAGAAAAGTATCAGTTATATTTAGTGAGGGGCCAGATACACTAACCATTCCTAGTTCTGTTAATACTTATGCCTTATATTCAGCCATCACCTCATTAAATGTGCTGTTAAAGACTAGATTACAAGGTGACCTTACATCAAAACTTGTATAAACTACTCATAATATTTGTGTACCCATATAAAATATGTATAGCTTTGTGCTATTCAGTTTTCTATTACTATAATAAAGAACTGAGGCAGATTAACTAAAAAAACAAAGGGAAGGTTTGTCTTGGCTCACAGTTTCGGAGGGGTCAGTCCATGACAGACAACCCTACTGTTTGGAGGCTATTGGGGCACAGGATAACATGGTGGCTGCACACAGCAGAGGAAGCCCATGGACTTCATGATTGGGAGCAAAGGAGACAGTCTTCCTTGAGAGCATGCTACCAATGACCAAAGCCTCTTACTGAACAATATCTCTCAAAGGCGTCACCACCTCCACTGAACACCAAGTTGAGGACCAAGCCCTTAACACGCAGTCCTCTGTGGCACATTTAAGATCTAAGCTGTAGCAAGCTGCTACCATCTCTGTGTCTGTAACTGATCACGAAGCCATGATTAAGATGATTTTAAACATCTATTTAATTTTGTACTAAAATTCATGCACTTCAAGTATTCGATTCAGTAGCTTTTAGTATATTCACTGTCATCACAAACACTTTAATTAGCACAGAAAGAAACCCAGTACCCAGTGGTAGTCACTCCCCATTCCACTCTCCCCGCACCGTGACTATGTCCTGTCTCCATAGATTTGCCTACTTGAGACGTTTCATATTTCACATAAATGGGATCACACAGTATGATTCCTTAAGATTGCTTTCTTTTACTTAGCTTAACACATTCAAAGTTTTTTTCATCTTTTTCATGGTTGATGTTTCCAATAGCTTAATAATTAGCATAATGGTAGTATTATGTATTCCACACAACTGTTATGAATATAAGTGAGTTAATGTATGTCACATTTTTAGAACAATATCTTATACTTAATTAATTCTTAATACCTTATTATTGGCTGTTTCACTTGGCATAGAAATACTTATGGAGATCAACAACACTGAATGTCTTCTGTTCTGGCCATACTGAAAAGTTAGCAGACGTTTTGAAAAAATATAAGCATTTTCAAGACAGACAGTGGTGAATATCATGACACTTGATGTGAATTGAGGTTTCTCTGCTGTTTCTTCCTGTGCAAATCCCAAGTTTCATTATGTTTTGTCCGTAACAGCTCCAGGGTAAGGTCAACAGGCAGTGATTACACTCACCCTATAGGTGGAAATGTAGAAAAGTACTTCGTGCTATTGTATTCTTATATTTCACTTCAAAACTCCGGCCCAAATGTGTTCTCCATATCCGAAACTAAAAGATGTTATTCTATTTGTGCTTTTTCTCTTAGTTTTGTCACCAAATTAGCTCGGTGCAGTCTGAGGCTTTGAAATGATAATATTAGAAAGTTGAGGATAGTGTTTAGAGTATTTCATAGAGAAGGTAATTAGAAATCATCCAAATAGTACTGCTCTCTGTGCTCTTGACTATTCCATTCCTAACTCAGGCTCTCTGGGAGGATTCCTTACTTCCTGTGCAAGAGTTCCCAGGCCCTTCCAGCTTCCCTGAAGACAGCCAGACGGGACTCTGCAGAGACAGCTTGACCTCCTCAAGCAGGACCCAGGTAATTGTAGGGCAGAGGAGAAGCCGCATATCCCTTCAGCTCTTGGAGAGGGAGCTGCTGAGGCTGGCCAGGGGCACGTGACACCCAGGCCCCACAGGACAGTGAAGGTGGGGTGTGGCTTGACTCCAAGCTGTCCGCAAAATGCAGCTGGTCACCTGGATCCCTGAGTCTGCCCTTTACACCTCCAGGCTACTCAGTGAGGAATTGGTGGCCTCTCATGCCAGACTGGTTTTCACATCAACCACTTCCCTTATCTTTTCCTGCAATACTGAAAGGTTGTACTGCCGTATAATGTTTTTAAAATTTTAATGAATATTTAAACCACGTTGCCAACAAATGACTCAATCTCATCTCTTTGATTTTAGTTTAATAGCTATTTCATTGAGTAAGGGCAGTATTGGGGGATGTTTTGGGTTTTTTGAGACAGGGCCTTACTATCTAATTCAGGTTGGCCTTGAACAACCCACTGTGTAGGCCAGGCTGGCATTGAACTTTGTGGCAATCCTCCTGCCTCAGCCTCCTGGTTGCTGGCATTACAGGCATGTGCCACCATGCCAAGCAGTCTGTTTTTATAAATATAATATAGGTGTGTGTTTAAAACAATTAAACTGTAATTTTAGCAATTTCAGTTTGGGAGGATGAGAAAGTCCTGAAGTTAGACAGAGGTGATGACCCCAGCATGTGAGTGGACACTGATACCACTGAATATTCACTTAAAAGAGGTAAATGATATGTTTTGTATACCTCGTCTTCTAGGTCAAAAACTAATGTAAGTCAGGGCTTTGAGTAAGACTTGGGCATGAATTATCATTCCATTAAGTTGCTTATACTTTCAGAGGACATTTTCTCATTTGTAAAATAGGGTCGTGGTTTGTCCTTCATGAGTTTGTCACGATGATGAGATGAATTTTAAAGGATACACAGTTGGCCCTTCCTGTTCTTAGGATCTGTGTTTCAAATTCCATTAACAGGGATCAAAATATTTTTTTAAAATAACATCTATGAAGAAAACATGTAGTACAGTAGGTCAACTATTTACACAATACTTCCAGTCATTATAATAAGGAATGGAGAGACAATTGAAATTCCACGAGAAGGCATGCAAAGATATGCAAGTACTACTGCACTTTATACAGAGGATTCGAGCACTGTGGATTACAGCGGCCACGGGAGAGGCTGCAGAATGACTCTATACCCCAAGATACAAAAGCACTTTGCACACAGGAGCTACTGGCTCAAATCTGTAGCAAAGCAAAAGTACTCTTTACTTTACCCATCACACGGTTCATGGCTAAGACCTTTATAGCAAAATGACAGATGGTCTAAGTTTTATATGACACAAGGTCTTTCAGCAATGTTATGGATAATTATGAAGAAGTATGATAGGGGTGTGCTGTGATGACAAGCTGGAGGGAACGTGTTTGTTCACATTCTTGGTGCTCCTGTATTCCTCATTTCCTGATATGCAACAGGTCCCCTGTCGATGGGGATTGTAGGGGAGAAAGAACTTGAAAGGGCAGACTGTGACCTTTCTGGGTTACAAGACCTGCTCCAGGGAAGAGACAAGGGGAAGGTGAGAGTGGCCTTCCTGCTCTGCTGTTCCCTCACATGCTGAGGTGCAAGGTTTAGAGGTCACAGGTCCTGATTGGCATCGCTGTCTGAAGTCAGGTCCCCGCCTGGCACTGGACTGCACCTCCTCTTGCTTACTGAAGGGCACCTGTCCAGTGCACTACATACCATCTCATGCTGATGTTATCACATTTTTCTGCCTCACTGGATAATTCCTGTCAGCATGCAAATGTGCTATTTATTTCTTGTAACAAAAGGAAAAACAACGTCAACTGAATTCCAACTCTCATGTTAGCTCTGGTTCTATTTTTCTGTTCACTTATGCAAGAAAATCTTTCAGAAATGCTCTCTACACTTGCTGCTTCCAAACTTCACCCTCTTACTTGTTACACTCCTCCAGTTTGGCTTCTGCTGCCATCACTTAACCAAATCTGCCCCCTTCCAGGTCACCAATTATGTTCACAAGGCTGAGTCCATGGCGACTTTCTGTTCCTGCTAATTGACCCCTCCTCTGATCCACTGACAAAGTTCTCCTCTTTGACACACTTTCTGCCTTTGATTGCCAGATTTCCTGCCTGGATTACCTGCTCCCTCTTTCTCAGTCTACACTGTAGCTTCCTCCTCTCCTTAGGAATACTCAACATTTCATGGCCTGGAGTTTGCTCCTGGGTCCTCTCCCTCTGCATATATGCCTTGTACAGTGTATGTACATTCACCTGTAAGTGATCTGATGACTTAAGTTTATAGGCTGAAGATTCCCAAATGCATCTTTACAGCCAAGGTCCTCCTCCAGCTCCAAATTCTTGTATCTATGCCTGATTTCTGACAGAAGCAACTTAATACATAAAAATTGAACTGCACAGTGAATTTTCCTCATCTATTTGATTAGCAACTCCATTTATCCAGTTGTTCAGGACAAAAGTTTAGGTGTTTTTCCACCTCTCCCAACCCATATACTCTGTTAAGAAATCATTTCATCTCTACCTTCTCTCCCACATATATCCAAACTTTGATCTCTCCAAACTACATGAGTCACCACAATGACTTTCTTTCTGGGTTCCTACCACTAACTCCACAACAAGTGTCGCAGCTGCCATCCTTAGGCCTGTTGTAGCACCATGATGGCAGACAGCAGATCCATCAAGATGTGGCCCATCATGTCCATGCTCCATTCAAACCCTTTTTCCAGGCCTCAAAATGGTCCTCAACACTCCTTATATTCTGACTCAGCCTGACCACCTCTCTAAGTCCAATCCAGTACATGGCTCTCTCCTTCTCCACACTCCAGGCACTGCTCACTGTAAAGACAGCTGGTGCGAATGCTCTTCTGCCTGCAACGCACACTGATAACACCAGGGCCTCTGTGAAAATGGTTGGAATCAATAAGGAATTGCATGTGCAAAGCATTAATAAGAAAGCAAAGCCAGGATGTCATGAAGGAGGGGTTCTCATGCAGGCAAACTCTATGACAAGAACTATCTTAAGAGTCTTGTAGACTCTCAACCTTACACAAAGCCCACTGCAATCTTACACAAAAAGCCCTTCCATGAGGACATCTGCCAGTTCAACCACAGACAGGCATCATCTTTGTTATGGATCCTTATAGCCAAGAATAACTGATTCCAAACAACTTGTAGAATTCTTGTTTTACCTTTAAAAATTTCCCTTTGCCTCAATCTCTTTGAATACTCGTAGTTGTACTATGACATAAGTGTTCTCATTGCAATGTTACCTCTGAGTAAACTCTTGGTCTTTTAGAGAGTCTCTTTTCCTTATTTGGGCTGACACTTTATTCCAGGATTTGATCTTTCCTGATCCTCTCAATGAGTGTCCCGTGTCACCTACTCTATTTGCAATCTTTTGAGAGCACTCTTTCCCTGTGACACTTAATTCAGTCATACTAAATAGTTACTACTATTTATTCTTCCTCCTACTCAAGTGCAGGCTCTGTAGTGTTGTGATTTTTTTCTCTGTTTTGTGCATCGATATTTCCTATGTGCTGAAATAGGATCTGTGTTATGGTTTGTGTTTAGATGTCCCCCCAGAGCCTCATGCAGATGAAGTGGGACTTTCTTTCTCAGTGGTAGTTGAATATGGAATGTGTGATGCTAGCTGGGGTTAAGGGTGTGTGATTACTAAACTACTACATGTGAGTGATTAGTTTGACACCACCTAATCCCAGGAGTCTGAATGGGATAAAAGAGGCAGGAAGATTCTGTGAAAGCCCCTTGCTGCCTTTGCTACTGTGTGGATACCATGTTGTCTCTCCTCTGTGATAATGGTTTGCCATCTCTGCCTTGGAACCAGCTGATTATGGACTGAAACCTCTCCAAACTGTAAGTCAAATAAACCCCTTCTCCTTTAACTTTTGGCGCTAGGTATTTTGTCTCAGCAATGAGAGAAAAGTAACACAAATTTGGTACCATGAGTGGGGTTGTTGCTGTGACATTACCTGTCCATGTGGCTCAAAGTCCTTTGTAAGTTGCTTGTGGGAACGGGGAGAGTTAGTTAGGAAAGATCTGGAAACATTGGCTACATAGTGCTGGAACACCTTAAGCTGTTTTGTATGAGAGATTGTGGTTAGAGCTCAGAAGACCAGAAAGCTGGTAAAGAACAGGATTGAGAAGTTTCTGCTGGGAAGTAGAATTCACTGCTGGATTCCAGAAGATGTGTGCTATGGCTTAACAGAAAGTTTGTTTGCATTTTGCTCATGTTCAGAGACTTTGCCAAAAGTTTCAGAGCCACCAGCTGAAGAGGCAGAGCTAGAACACATTAGGCTGTTCTCTATGGGAGATTCTGGTCAGAGCTCAGAAGACTAGAAAGCTTGTAAAGACCAGGCTAGGGAGGTTTCTGCTGGGAAGCAGGTCTGAATTGGCTGTTGGGCCCAAGATGATGTGTGTTATGTCTTGGAAGAAAGTTTTCTGCATTTTGTTCACATCCAGAGACTTTGCCTGAGATTGAGATTAAGAACAGTGGACTAATTAATCTTTCAGAAGAAATTTCAAGGCAGTCAAATATTGAGGTGGTGGCCTGGCTGCTGTTGGGGGCTTTTAGCCAGATCTATGTTGAGAATCAAGAGCAAAAAGCCCAGAATGATTTAAAATATTTGAGTTTGACCAGAAAGGAAGCTCCAGTAGAGCTGCGGATTGCAAGGAGAGCAGAGGTGATCTTGACTGGTCAGAAGGAACAGGAAAATAGAAGAGATGGCCTGGAGGCATCACAAGAAGCAGCCTCAGAGTTGTAAGGTGAAAAACTTTGCTTTGAGAAGAAAGTCCAGGAGCATCATATTCCAGAATGGCAGAAGCTTAGGGAAGTTGTTCCAAATGGCAGATTAGGGATGTGTTCCTTGGGATTTGGCTCATAGGCATTGGACCACTACAGCCAAGAGGAAGACTGGCTATGACTGCTCCAGGTGGCAGCAGACCTTGGCA